CCCAACCTCCCTGTCTCACAGACTGGGATTTGGAAAGCCTGTGGATCTGGGGAACAGTTAGGGAAGTATCTTACCCCATTGGAGAGACGGAGGCCTTGCAAAGTGCAGGTCTGAATCTGGGTTCAGGTTCCAACTTGCCTCTTCCGAAAGCTCAGCAGTGTTTGGATGAGGCAGCAAAAGTTCCCAGTGTAGGTTAGCACCAAACGCTGTGTGTTGGAGAACATCTGCAGTGCAATCAGGAGGTGTGATTGCAGCCAGTGTAAACATACCCACAGTCGCTTTAATCTGTCTGTCTCGAGTGCTATAGTGGTGAAGCCGTGAGTGCCTATGCTTGAGCATGGGCAGTAACTCCCAGGGCTTGTGCAGTGTGCACTGTCAGGGTGCCACTGATTTGACACCGGAGCTGGCGAGATGAAAGCTATACTGGGGAGGTCTGGGCATCTGGAGGGAGCAGGGGCGGCCTGTGCGTATAGGCCGACTTGGCTGTCACCTAGGGCACCGTGTTAAATGGGGCGCCCAAAGATGACGTCACGCCATTGCGAGCTGTGGAGGCGGGGGCACCGATTGCGCATTCCGCCTGGGGCGCCAGCTGCCGGCAGCCCGCCTCGGGCCGCCCTGTGAGGGAGGGAACGGGAACGGCCACAGAATGGTGACTTTCAAGAAATTCTAGAACCCTGGAGAAGTTCCGGAAGACTGGAACAAAGCTAGTGCTGTGACACTCCTTAAAAAGGTGACCTGGGTAATTACTGACTTGTCAGTCTGACATTGATCCTGGCAAGATAATGGAGCGGGTGATTTGGGACTTGATTTATGATGAATTAAAGGTGGGTGATGTAATTAATGCCAATCAACAGGGGTGTATGGAAAATAGATACTGTCAAACTAACTTGATATCTTTTGTTTTATGAGATTATAATGTGGTTCCTAAAGGTAATAGGGGTGTGTAATATACTTAGATTTCTGTACGGTGTACAGCTTAGTACCGTGTGACATTTGGACTTAAAAACCCCTGGAATGCTATGGAATGAACACGGCACATGTTAAATGGCTTAAAAGCTGGCTCGCTGATAGGTCTTAAAATGTGACTGTAAATGAGGAAGCAGCAGCAGGCAGGTGTGTGTTAGTGGAGTCCCGTGGGGATGGGTTCTTGGCCTGTTGCGGTTTGACGTTTTTAGCAATGACCTGAAAGAAAACCTAAAGTCATCACTGATAAAGTTGGCAGATAATGCAAAAATCAAAAGACTGGTAAATAAAGAAGAGGACTGGTCACAGAGAGAGAATGATATGGATTGCTTGGTGAATGAGGAAGAAGACAACAACATGGCTGTGTCTACACTGGAATGAATTTCCGGAAATGCTTAAAATGGAATACTATTCTGTTTTCAGTTTTTCCGGAAAAGGAGCGTCTACATTAGCAGGCTGCTTTTCCGGAAAAGCCCTTTTTCTGGAAAAGCGTCTGTGGCCAATGTAGATGCGCTTTTCCGGAAAAGAGCCCCGATCGTCATTTTCGCAATCGGGGCTTTTTTCCGGAAAAGACTACTGGGCTGTCTACACTGGCCCTTTTCCGGAACAGTGTTCCGGAATAAGGACTTATGCCCGAGCGAGAGCAGAATAGTTTTTCCGGAATAGCGGCTGATTTTGTACAGTAAAGCATCGTTGCTTTTCCGGAAATTCAAGGGCTAGTGTAGACAGCTCGCAGCTTATTCCGGAAACACGGCTGATTTTCCGGAATAAGTGGCCCAGTGTAGACACAGCCCATGTGTTTTAATATGGCTACATTTAGGAACAAAGAGTTTAGGCCATACTTATAGGATGGGGGGCTATGTCCTACAAAGCAATGGCTGGAAATAATTTGGAGATGGGGGTGGACAATCAGCTGAGCATGAGATCCCAATACAGTGCTTTTTCGTGGGAAACAAAACCAGGAGTAGAGAAATTATTTCTTCCCTATCTAGCACTGGTGTGATTGCTGCTGTTATGATCTGGAGTACACAATTCAAGAAGGATGTTACTAAGTTGAACAGGGCCCAGTAAAGAGCCATGGAAATGATTAAAGGATTATAAATCCTGCCTTATCTTGGAAAAACTCAAGGTGTTCAGTCTCTTTAGCTTAACAAAGAGACGATTAAGGGGTAACTTGATGGGGAACAAATATTTAATAATGGGCTTTCCAATCTAGCAGAGAAAGGTATAACACAAGTCGAAGCTAGACAAACTCAAACTAGGAAAAAACCCCAATTTTTTAAACCGTGAGAATCATTAACCAGCGTAATAATTGATCAAGGGCTGTGGTGGATCATCCATCACCAGCGTTCCCCGTAAGCTGGGCACTTGTGCAGCCACTCAGGAGAGATTCCAGTGCTACCTCGCTGATGAGCAGAGTGCCCAAAGGCAAGTTTTTCTTTCTAGTAGTGGTGCGCATTTGCACTATGCCTTGGTGCACTTACAATTATTCCACATATGGATGGAAAAAAATCCACAAATGGGTGGAAAAGACTAGAGGGAACATTGTCCATCGCTGACAATTTTTCAGCCAAGATTGGCTGTTTTTGTAGAAGCTCTGCTCTAGGGATTATGTCAGGAAGTTCTCTGGCCTGCGTTACAGAAGTCAGACCAAAGGATTGCAGATGATTCCAAGCAGCCCACGTTGTAGCGTTTGCCCCGCCCTGGCATGGTACCTGGGGTTGCATGCCTCCTGTGTGTCTGTGGCATGAGAAGCTATCCTAGTCTCTCCATCACAGTGCCTGCACACATCATTTCATCACGCAGCACCTCCGGAGCAGCTGCTGCATTCAATTGCTGCCCCCAGGACAGTGCGGGCTCTCTGGCTGCGAGGATGTCTTGGCAGTGATGTATCTGCTACAATTACCAGCTCTCTTCCCAAAGGAGGAAAAAATAGATGAATAATATGTTTTGAAGGAGTCATGGCATGAAGACGAGAGAGGAACTTAAGCCTGAACTTATGAATAACTTACAGGCTTCATGCAGTCACACCAGTGGGCCATAGCTTTCTTATTTGTGGGCGGTGTCATTCAAAGAACAAACGCCGGCGTCCCTGTATGGTGTGCTTGTGCCTGTGTCCCCATGTGCTTTTGTCATTGTGTCCTGATGCTTTGGTATGTCCTGTGCTTGCATGCTTGGGCCCAGGAATGTGTGTAATCGTATGTTTGCATGTTTTATGCATGTTTGTGCATGCATGCAGGTTTGTGTGAATGCACGGCATTCAGTTATCAGACTGCGGCTCCTATCGGGCCCCATCGCATCTGAACAGCTCATGGTTTTTAGCCACACAGAATCTCAGCGAAGTAGGGCTCTGCTGTTATCCCTAATTCCCAGTTGAGAAACTAAGGATACGTCTACACAGCATCATTATTTCAAAACAATGAATGTTATTCCGAAATAACAAAATCCGCAGGTACACACAAGCTATTATTTCGACATAATGTCAAAATAATGTCGAGCCGGAGGAGTCCTTACTCCGACTCCTGTAACCCTCATTTTACGAGGAGTAAGGAAAGTCGGGGGAAGAGTGCTCGTTCTTGGACTTCCGGCTGTGTAGACCACACCAAAAGCCAAAATAAGCTATTTCAAATTAAGCTACTCAATTGACGTAGATCAAGTTGCATCGCTTATTTTGGCTTTAGTCCTGCTGTGTAGACGCACCCTGAGTGACTTCTTCAGCATCACAGAGGTGAGTGTGCGGAAGGGTTGCACGTGCTAGATTAACACTCCTTCTCCTCTGGATCTCAGCAGTGACAAGAGTGGGGAATCTGAGTGCAACCTGCTAGGAGCTCAACCCTTTTATTAATCTGGATCTCACTCTGGTGCATATGGATCTCTCCACTTCCTCTGCTTAGCCTGTTGGTCTCACTCAAGATTTCATCCCCATGTATGCAGCAGAGCTGCCTGCCTGCCGGTTTCCCTCTCACTTGCATGGAAATGGTTGGAATTTGGGAATTTCCAACATTCCAGGAAATGGATTTTCATTCCAATTTTTTTTAATGATTTTTGTGGGTCATTTGAGAAGTTCTGTTGGGCTCAGCGCTCAAGTTTTCATTGCCATTTTGCTTTGTTTTTTTCATTGTGCAGCACAACAGAAACCAAATGGTGTAATGACAAGTTGTTTGGAAAAGAAGGACGTTTTCAACCTCACGGAAATGCTTTGTTTCAGTTGCTTTTTCTAAGCCAAAGGCCAGCAAAGTGGAGGTGTTTCAGCAGGCAGCTTCCATGTCTACACAATAGCATTTGTCAACAAAGGAAAAAGGTTCCACCGGGAAAAAAAATCGACCAGCTCTAATTTTGACTTGCCTGGTCATGTAGTGAGGTGTGGGTCTCCCCAGTGTGTGGAAAAGGGGTTGCACACATCCCACTGACCCACAATAAAGAGCAGGACAAGTGTTTCTCACTCCTTTCCAGGAGCTGTCACAAGACTTCCCAATGCAGAGGGCTGCTACCTGCCCATGACTCTTGCAATGAGCAGGTGCAAGCCATCGTTCAGCAAAACTGTGTAGACTTGTGCTCTGTACAGCTGCTGCATCTGTTGTGCTGGGACCCAGGCAAAGCAGGTCCTGGACAGGGACTCCAGAAATGTGGGTTCAATTCCTGGCTCTGCCCTGGATTCCCCGCGTGACTTTGAGCACATAGCATAGGGTATGTCTGTACTGCATTGTAAACTTGGGGCAGAACCTGGCCCTGTGGACTCAGTATTTCGAAGAGTGCATCCATACTGCAGTGTACAGCTGGGCTTGAAATTGCTGGACCCAGGTCTCCCGGCCGAGCTGATGGGTCCATACAGCACTACGCAGCCCTTCTGACACGTGCCTTTGGGTTGAGATGTGTCCACGCTGCAAAATGATGGGGTTTGGACCTAAGTCACTAAGGGTCCCAAGACACCAGCCCTGAGCGCGTGCTGAGTTGTGTCAGTGGGATGGGGGGTGCATACGCTGCGACGGCCAGTGATTTATGTGTGGATGGAACTAGGGTTTGGACTCCAATGTGAGTCAGAGCCTAGGCATAGTGTGGACTGTAGACATATCCAAACTCTCTCTCAACCTCTGGATCACCACCTGTAAAATTGGGGGTAATCTTCTTCCCTAGGCAAGTGGGGAAGCACTGGGATGGGTTCCCTAGAGAGGGGCTGGAATCTCCATCCCTGGAGGTTTTTAAGTCCTGGTTTGACACAGCCCTGGCTGGGTTGATTGAGTTGGGGTTGATCCTGCTTTGGGCAGGGGGCTGGACTCGATGACTCCGGAGGTCTCTTCCAGCCCTGGGATTCTAGGATTCTTTTCTCCCACCTGTTGTCTGCCTTGTCTATATAGGTGGTAACCAGGGCCGCATTATGACTTTCGTGGGCCCAAGGCACTTTTGCCTTCGAGGGCCCCTTCCTCCATAAAAAAATATTTAAAATTATTTTTATATAACTTTAAATACGTCAACATTTTATTTTTTTTCTGTTTAAGGCCAAATTTAATAGATTTCCGTGGGCCCTAGAAGTTTCATTTTTTTCTGATGTGAGAAAAAAAATAAAACATTTTCTTCAACCCTAAAAATTCATTTTTTTCTTCTGATTTTAAAAGAAATTAAAACATTTTCGTGGGCCCCTAAAAGTATCGTGGGACATAGGCACTGTGCCTACTGTGCCTAGAGGATAAGTCGGCCCTGATTATAACTGCTTCTGGGAAGGACTATCCCAGAAGCACCTAAAGCACCTCCCACCACGTGCTCTTGATCCTTGCTGTGGCCATAGGTGCTATTGCAGTCACCCTCACACTCTGGCACTAGCATCTGCTGCAGCACAGTGTGTTGTCCTGGAGGCTACGTCTACACTGCAAGGTTTTTGCGCTAAAACCTGCGGAGCGTCCACACCTCAAATGCACTTTTGCGCAAGTAAATCAGCAGTAAAACGACAGAACAGAGGGCTTTTTGCGGTGCAGGTAAACCTCCTTTTACGAGGCACAACTCCTTTTTGCGCTACAACAATTGTGCAAAAAGGCATGTGTGGATGCTCCCCAGGGGTTTCTTGCGCAAAAAGATCCTATCCAAAAAAGCACAGGTGTTCTGGTGGCCATTCTGTGAATGGTAATCAAAGCTTCCTTGCGCAAGAGCATCCATGAAGTGTGGACGCTCTCTTGCGCAAAAGCAAATCGCAAAAGCGATGCGCTTTGAAGTGTGGACATGCTTTTGTGCAAGAAGTTTTTGCACAAAAACTCTTCTGCAAAAGACTTCTTGTGCAAAAACCCTGCAGTGTAGACATAGCCAGAGAAAGCGACCAGCAGTGAAAGGATAGGTTCAGCTGTGGAGAGGGCTTGGGACCTGCCCAAAGGGGACAGTTGGGTTTAAAAAAAAAACCCTGTTAGATAAGAAAGAGGGAAGGTGAAGAATCTTGGTGCTGAGCTAGCAGATGAACCCGAGCTGGGGTGCGAGGTGAGAAGAGGAGAAGAAAAGTAGGACACTGGGAAGTGCAAAGGAATAAAGAAGGAAACCAGGGAAATGTTCAGGTTGGGGAAGCAGAAAAGCAGACCTGGCTGTGTGAACAGACACAGATACTGTGGTGGGGATGGGCAAGGGAAGGTAATCTATAGATGTTGCAGAGAGAGTACCAAAGGAAATAGAACTGGTGAAAAAGGGAATTGATCCAAAAGCCGGGTATGATGCAAATAGATTAGGAAAACAGTGAACAAGAAGCCCACCCACAAAGGCCCTAAGTGTACGAAACGAGCAAGTGACGGCTAGGACATCGATTGATGGAAAGATGCCTAATGGCCAAGCCAGGGCCCAGCAGGTGGAGAAACTCAGTGAACAGAGACACGGCTGCAGGGACAGCCAATCTAGGGAGCGCTTTGAGCCAGAGAGCAGCAGAGAACAGGACAGCAAGAGTGGAGCTGGACTTACAGCCAAGGAGAGGAAAAGCTGATTCTTCTCTGAGGGGACACGGTGTATTGTTGGGTGCTTTCTTTTGTTCTTGCTAGTAACAATGCACTTGGCTCTAATTGCACAGTGTGAGGAGAAGCTGACAAAGGTAATGAGTTGGTGCCCTATAGTTTATTATGCTAAGTAGTGAGTATTTAGTAGTGCTCTATATTATTTGTGCTTCTGGTACAATTTGGGGAGTTTCTCTTATAAACTTCTAAAAATTTAAAACAATCCCCTTTGTGTCCGGTTTTGCTTTTGCCTTTCCTCTGTCCTGCTGCGATACAAAAAATACTGGCATGCCCACGGCTGTGCAGAGGTGGGCAATAATTTTGTGGCAGAAAGATTTGTCATTGGAAAAGGTCTTTTTGTCAAAATCGAAGCTTTCTGCAGACCTGTTTGATTTTTGCTGAAATTGCATTTTTAGAAAAACGAAACAGAATTTCAGGAAGGTTAAAATGTTATGAAGTGTTCAAGATTTTTTTGTATATGTTGGTGTTTTCTTTGGAAACAGCTCTGCATTTAGAACTTTATTTTTCTTTATAGTATTCACAATAATTACAAATCAAAATGTCTTTTTGGGGGAACTGAAATTAATGTTTCCCCCGAAAACTTTGTTTCATGGGAAGTTTCACTGTTGGACATTTACATTCTGGTTCAGAATGAGAAAAAAAGTTGAAATTGCCGCATGTCCTGCAAATTGGCAATTTGCTTTCCTCACAGGTGTGTGTGTTTCTCTCTCTTTATTAATACACAGTGTGCATTGTACTTGGAGTGAACTCTTCCTCTTCCAGGACTGTAGTTCCTGGATGCAGCCCTATTGTCTAGGGGCTCATAGTAAGAGTGTAATGGACATTAGGCATTTATTGCAAAGTGTTCTGTTGAACATCACCTGCTGTTCAGCATGAAACGTTGATGTTCCACAAAGCCACAAGCCAAAGGCTCCATGAGGGCTGTTTTGGTGTGTCGGCTAAATGTACATGCTCAAAACAAGTTCTGTGTGAATTAATAATGCGTAGCCCAAATCCTTAGGAAGAGCAGCTATTGCATATGGTACTGTTATAAACTGTTCTCTTTTCTTAGGCAAATACACAAATATGTTTCATTTTCTAAGGCGTATAATTATGTAGAATAATACAACTGACTGTTCCAAGCCATTCCAGTATATTAATTGCTTACATGTGCTGGGTTGAATCCAGAAGTGCTGTGAAGGATCATATCTATATATACCATATATATATATATATAACTATATTTGAGAGTGTTCGTCTGCCAGTCTGTTCAATAACTACATTTGGTATTCAGCCTCCTCTTATCTAAGCAAGGTCAGGATTTGGGTTATGCCAGGGAAATGGGAAGTGCCAAGAATGGGACTGCTTCTCAGGAAACCATATAGAAAAGAGGCAGAATCCCCAGGTGAAAGGGATTGGCTGGGGGCAAAGACTCCCCCCCCCCCCCCCTTGGG